TCCCACATGACAATATGATGGAAGGAGAGAGCTGATTCCCACAAGCTGTTCTCTGACCCCCACACATGTGCAATGGCATGCATGCAGGTGCAAACACACACAAATCGAATGAAAAATTTTAATGTTCTAATTGTGTATCCCTCTACTATTGAATTATCACTGTGTCCATAAACAAAGTTGTTGACTTTGATTTCTCTTCAGAAAGCCTTTAACAAAAAATAACCCCTTTCTTCTGCACATACGATCACTTTCCAGATCTATAGTAGGTCTGCTGTGTGAGATTGGGGTCCGAAGAAACAGGGTTTTCCCGTCTTCCTCTTCCCTTTCTGGGGCTGCTTACTAAGTCCATGGTGCCGTCAGTGTCACTAAATGCCTGATGTTTCTTGAGCGAATGACGGCTTGCCCAATAAATGTCCTCTTTCTCTGCCCACCCCATGGCTATTGGAAGGTAGAGATGTGGCAAGGCCAGCCTGAGGCTCAGAAAGCTGTCTTGCTTTTGTTATCACAGTTCAAGCACTATAATCCATCCCAGCAAACCACCTTTAATCTGTGTATTCTACTGCTGTGGTCTCAGATTGACAAGGTAAGTGGTCAGGCCAAAGGTAATGACCTATGCCATTCTTCACTGACCTAGCAGCCTATAATGAAAGCTCTTCATACCTCTGTAGCCCTCAGGAGAAGGGGGTCATCTGGCCCCCAGAGCTGCTGTTTCTGCATTATCACAGTTAGAATCAATTTACCACTGTGAAGTTAGTTCACTTCTGTCCCGCTGCCCTGTAAGTGCCTTGAGGGCAGGGCTGACATCCATCATGTCCACTGCTTCCCTGGCAGAGCTCTCTGCTGTGATCTGTGTGCCCAGTAGCTCTATGGGTTCTCTCTTCTGCCCCAGGGCCTTTGAACTTACAGTTCCCTTGGCTGGAAGACTCTTTTCTCAGATACCCTGTTGGCATTGCATATCCCCTTGCCCTTACCTGTGTGTTCTCCTTTGTGCCCATCCCTATCAGACCTACTAGAGAATGTGCACATCTTCCTGCATGTCTCTCCTACTGGGTGTCTAGTTCAAGGGTGAGGAGTTTTGGTGCATTGTACTAGAGGGCATTGGCTTTTCATGAATAAAGGAATAAGCACTTTGTTAATCTAAGCAGTTAGTCAGCTCGGGTGGGCAGAAATACAGACCCTGGAGTCCTTAGAGTCACTAGCTGTGGCCCCAGGGAGGTCTCAGGCCAGATATAGGAGTCCCTTCTGTCTCTCCAGCCCCAACTCTGTACGTTAATGTGTAAAATATGCTGGCTTGGCAGTAGCTCTTAAACATGTGAACGCTGCCCCAAGACTTGGATTCGGCAGTGGTTTCAACTCCTTACAACCCATCACATACTTTTTGAAAGTTCATTTCAAAAGTACATTGTCAGCACGTTCCGTCTGTTTTTGGAATAAAAAACTAATTTCCCCTTGGAATTCTGTATGTCCTGCACTTTGTAGTAAGCACCCAATTAGGGGTTTTTGAGACGTATTTTGGCACCTGGAAATGGATTAAGCTTCTGTTTTGGGCTCTTGTGTCTATAGACCTCTCCTGTGGCTTTGAACTTTGTTTTGTTATTTCTGGGAACCCCAAACTCTTTCGGTTTGAAACAAGGGGTTCTTAAAACAAGCTTTGGACTTCCTCTATTATCTAGCTATCTAAAGCACATTTGGAAATTAAAAGAAAGAAAACCCTAAATGATAATAGAAACCTAATATATTCTTAAGAAGCCTGCAAAGGGGCCTCCAAAAGCCAGGGCAGCTTCTGAAAAGTGAGAGAAGAAAACAAACAAAACAAAACGAAACAAAACATATATCTCAGGGGACACTGGATTTCAGCGATGAGTAATGAAGGTAAGGGCTCTGGTTTGAGAATAAGCGCACTTAGGACAGGTTAACAGAGTCTGCGGTTGCAGGATATTGCAGTAGAGTAATATGCTCTATTCATCTGCGAATCTTCGAAATTTATTTTTTGTATTCTATCCACCAAGATTTTCTGCATGCTGGGAAAGTGTTCTACCACTGAGCTACACCGCACCACCACCCCAGGGAGCAAATGTTTAATAGGTAGTAAATAGCAATTATAGTTTCCATTCTACATTTTTTTTTTTTGAAAAAAGCAACATTTGGGCTAGAGATATGGCTCAGCAGTTAAGAATATTGACTGTTCTTGCAGAGGACCTGGGTTCAGTTCCTAGCTCCCACATGGTGGCTAACAACTGTCTGTACCATCCCCCGCAGTCCCAGGGGCTCTAAAACCCTCTTCTGACTTCCCCAGGCATTTGCATGCATGTGGTGTATTTACATACATTCAGGAAAAAATCATCATACATATAAAATAAAAATAAATGATACGTATTTTTAAAATTCAACATTTATTTGCAATTTCACAGACTTTTAAGTAATGAATCCTCAGTGTGTACTTTGTATACTTGAACTTAGTGCACTGTTTTTTTTCTTTTGCTCATTAAATAATAGGTTATTTTCATTCTTGAAGATGCTAACTGCACCCCTTAATTTTTTTTTAATATTTCCATTAAACTCATTCTACAAAGTTCTCCTGAATAAAGAAGGAGGATCTCATTGTTACAGGGGTCTTTCCTTTAATCAAGTCACCTTGGAGAGAATCTGTTCTGCAGGTAAAAGCTTGAATCTGATAACATTTAATGCAAGCTGCCAGGATACTGAAAAAGTCTTCACTTGGCGGTCCAGCCTGGAACAATGACTTTTAAATAAAGCTAGCAGGAGAAAACAAACACACACACGGTGTAGAAGAGCTGAGCAACAATGGGGTCCTCAAATACATTAGCTCACTTCTCAGCCAGTGGAAATTTACAACTAAATTAGTTTACAAAAACATTCTTGCACCCCCTCCTTTCCAAACAACCCTTCCCATTCTTAACCTGGGAATTCTAGGCCAGCTTTGATTCTTAAATCCCACTGCCCTTTTTAAAGCATTATCTTTTCCCCTTCTAGTTACTGACTTCCTCAAGAGAGAAAATTTCTCCTTCAAGATGCTGTGTATTTTTCCCTCCACTAATCATACACACACACACACACACACAAATGCTGTGTATTTTTCCCCCCCCTAAACATACACACACACACACACACACACACACACACACACACACACACACACAGAGTTTACCAACAATATAAAAATTGTATTTCTGGGCAAAAGGTCTGAAGTTTCTTCTCCTGATTTAGAAACTATCTAAACCTAAAGTTATGTTGTTCAATACACAGATGATTATTACTCTCTTCTAAGATTTCATTGTTAATGTTCAGAAGGAAGTTCCCCAATATATTTTCTGAGAACGGCCTGTTTTTCAAATGTTAAATTCACAGTCAGCATGTGAGGGCTCAGATCCTGGCTTTTCCTTCTTTCTTATCTGAGGTCATAGACCTCAAGAGAGCAGGGGAGGGTTACAAGGTCAAAGTCTTTTCCTGCTTGGAACTTGCTGCTCACTGGGAGAGGGCTGCTGGGAAATAGATGCTTTGGGAAGAGGTTGGGTGGGTCAGGATTTTAAGTCTGTGAAGGAACAGCTGGTTTGAGTTTTTGTCCATTTCTGTCTGCTGCTGCCTTCTTCACAAATCCATGGAGAGAAGATTTGTTCAGAAGGAGCAGGCAGCATAAAGAATATGTCTCTGTGACTGCGACACTATATATATCATTTTTGTTGCACAGCTGAATTCTGAGTGGCAGAAAGGACCTGGTTTTACATTATTAACTCTGAAATTTGAAGCATGCCTGAGCCTTCACTGGAGGAGCCTTGCCATAGCCCTGGAACCTTCTTCTAATAATATTTTTTAACTGAAACTTCCATGAAAATAAGCATCCTAAGGGCCACCTGAGTATTTAGAGGTTGAACAGAAAGGCAGGAACGTGACTCACATACAAAAGCAAAGCCAAGTGTATGTGTTACTTGTTTCTGGACTAGATATCTTCTCTATTTCCAAATTAGTATATTCATCCATCTCTCCAGTGTTTACAGAGGGCTGCTGCTTCCCACAGTCACCCCGGGGGCTACAGATAGAGCAGTAAGATGCTTAGGTGCTTCTGTGCACAGGTGTAGAAACTGGGTCCTGAGAACTCAAACCCACAACTGTGTCTAGCTCTTCTAAATAGTTGACACAAACAGGTCTGTTCACAATAACATTACGCTATAATAAACTCATAAATCCAATACTTAACATGAATTTGTAACACTAGTAGAACAGTAAAAGAGTAATAGAAAGAAAATGTTTGAAAACTGTTTTAAAAAACACCATATGGCTTGATTATTTTTATTTAGATTTTGAAGTCTTCCATGCTTTTTTCTTAAATCCTGCACAAGTGGGCTTATACACACACACACACACAGAGAGAGAGAGAGAGAGAGAGAGAGAGAGAGAGAGAGAGAGAGAGAGAGGAGAGAGAGAGAGAGAGAGAGAGAGAGAGAGAGAGAGAATAAAACATTTCTCAAATAAATGGCAAACCAGTAACAGATTTTTTGTCTGGGCTCCTCAGCATACTGGCCTCAGGCTGTGTTGGTGTGTGGCTCAACAGCCATCAGAGGTCATAATTTCATTGGCAGTTAGCATCAGGTTTAATTTTTCTAGCATGCTGAATTTACCAAAATGTCTGGTTTTAGTTATGCCCGGGCACTCTCCAAATCAGCTTTGAGCAGTATGATGTTTTAAGGTACCTAAGCTTTATAGAATGCATATGCTAATTGTTTTCAATCACTTTCCTTTCTAAACACAAAAATGTGTTTTCTGAAGCTAAATAACAGTAGTTCTTGATGACATTGCTTGTTTCTTATGAGAAAGAGCCCCAAAATAAGTAAAACATGTCAATTAAACAAGACTGCCACCTACTGATAGACATTGTTGAAAAACATTCCAGTTGAGGTGTTTATAAAATAACTAATTTCTTAATTTACAAAATAAAGAATGCTTCTTAAAAACTAACACACATCATTTTAACTGCATTTTAGGAATGTGACCAAGTTCATATAGACGACGTCTCTTCCGATGACAACGGCCAGGATTTAAGGTGAGCACACTGGCACAAACTGACCAGCGCCCGGTTACGGTTTAATTTGTTCAGCTAGTTAAGATGAATTTTCTGTTTGGTTAACTCTGGGCTTTTCTTGCATCTAAATAGCACGTATAACTTTGGAACAGATGGCTTTCCTGCTGCAGCCACCAGTGCTAATTTATGCCTGGCAACTGGTGTCCGGGGTGGAGTGGACTGGATGAGAAAACTGGCCTTTCGCTACAGACGAGTAAAAGAGATCTACAACACGTACAAAAACAACGTGGGAGGCAAGTGACAGGCACTAATACCTCAAGGGGGTAGCTGAAGATAGCCTAGTTAAAATCCTTAAAGTACCACTCACTTTTGGGCTACATTTTTGAGTATAAAATTTTTTTAAAGGCAATTTCATCTAACTGATGAACTTCTGCTATGATTTAGTGACAATTATTAGACTCTAGCCAGTTGCCCTGGCTACTTAGTACTGTGGCCTGGGGAAGATTTCCTTGACCTCTCAGACATTCAGTTGTCCTTCCAGCAAAGCCCTGCTCATGACACAGGATGAGTTGTCACCAGCGCCCTTCCCAGACCTGTGCTTGTGTTAAGTCTTGCATCTTTTCAATGTGGTTCCCAGAAGTCAAAGTGGTTTGAGCATAGACAGAATAATGTTTACTCAATGATGCAAAGTGTAAGGAGGTTTACAGCATGGCTAGGTCTAGGCACTAAAGTGTCATGATCAGGAAAGCCTGTACTTTATGGTGGGTAGGAGCCATTTCTAGTCCCTCACAAGTGGTGGCAAAAGCAGCTGCCCCTAGACTCAGGTTTTGATCTCCCTAGTTATCCCCACCATGGGGGAAAGAGAGACATCTTCCCATAGAGTCAGGGAAAGTTCCAAGCCTAGCTGTCCCTGACCAAACCTAAGGCACTTCATCTAAGAACAAGAAAGCAATTCTGCTCACATGACATGGTTAGAAGCCTGGGAGAGCACAGGCTCCCCCAGAAAGATGAGATGACACCTACCTCCAAAAGAAGGGGTGCTGGGAATGCCAGGCCAGGTGTTCTTTGTGAATTAAACACACATTTGCAACTAAATGATAATACATGAAACTATGGGTTTGAGGATGGTGATGGTAACTGTGAAATGCTTCCTATGAAGCTGCTCAGCCATGTGGGTGAGGAAGTGGGTCTCATGCACCTTCCACCTCTCAGGTCTGCTTGGTCCAGCCAAGAGGGAAGCCTGGCTCCAGCTGCGGGCTGAGATCGAGGCACTCACGGACTCCTGGCTGACCCTGGCCTTGAAGGCCCTCTCACTCATCCACTCCCGGTGAGGTGCTCGTGGGCCTGCCTGGGAAGTGGGTGCTGCTCAGGCTTCTGTACCTTCGAGACTTATTTTTCAACAGTCTTCTTTTTCCTTTCTGTTCTCATAGGACGAACTGTGTGAATATTTTAGTAACAACTACTCAGCTCATCCCAGCATTGGCAAAAGTCCTGCTATATGGATTAGGAATTGTATTTCCAATAGAAAATATTTACAGTGCAACTAAAATAGGTGAGCTCTTTATGTTTTCTGAACTGAACCTTTTTCTTGAAGCTAGTCTGAAAGGAAAGACAGTCAATGAAGCTTTTTCAGAATTCTAGCTACCTCAGAACAATGGAAGGATAATCTTATTTTCAAGAGTGGTTGCGGACATCAAGAGAACTATAAAGTATAACCTATATAACCGAATGATAAAGTTTTACTTTACTGGATGACATAAAGACCTGGACATTTTGGGTACAAATAATTTAACATCAATTCTAGGCTATTTTTTTTTTAATTCTTTTAGGTGACATCAACACAAATATTTTGTAAACTAAAGCGAAAAGTAAAACAAAAGCATTAAAAGTAGAAATGAACAACTCCAACACTTTTTTCAGTTTCACTGGACATGGGCATTTGTTGGTTTTAGTTCAATATGTATGGGCAGGTGGCTCCTCATTTTTGTTCTGGGAATATAAAAAGTAAGCTTTTTGTAAGGATGATGCACAGTTGGAAGGGATAAAGTCTAATCAGAAATTTAGAATACAAACTAAGTAAGAATAAAAATAGGCATAAAAGGCAGTCTTGGCTTATTCTCAAGGGAGGCAGACATCTAAATATCTACAACCCAGTATGACAAAGTCATATACAAATGAGCATTCAACAGGTATGTACTAGATGTAGAGAACTGTACTAGGCATTTTGCCTATTAATCTTTACATTTTACACATGAGGAAACTAAATCTCCAGGCTTAAGTTGTTAGGTAAACAGCTAAGAGCCAAGTCTCAGGTCTACTGATCCAGTCTCCTTTCTACCAGGTGGTCCTGCTGAGTGCTTGACCCTGACTGTGCCATAGGTAGCTCTTGTTCCCAGGCAGGAGGGGCCAAAGGGCAGAGTCAGTGAAAGCTAAGGGACAAGATCGCATTTGAGCAAGGCCAGAAAGACAAACAAAAGTTTACCTGGAAGCTTTGCTAATTGAGATCAAGGGAACAGAGATGTTGAAACAATTCCCTGCCAAAGGCCTTGTGAGTAGTCCTGAGTGGTTAGTGTTCAGTACTCATAGGAGACTGAAGCTGGAGAACAGCCCTGTGTTTATCCTAAGTGGCCTTCATATTACCCTAAAACAATGAATTGTAAGGGGGAAAGAGGATGCCCATCCTCTGTATGAGAGGAAGACTGATTCTGGCTGCTCAACTCCATCTAAAGGCAGAGAGGCAAAACTGAATCCCAGAGTTCCATTTATTAATCAGTAGATAATTTCTTCCTCTACTTGTTTATAGTATGCATTCTCCACCAGATTTTAATATTCTTGAGGGCTGTTCGTCTCTTTTTCATCACACTGGCTACAATGCCCAGCATATAGTATATATGCTCAAAACATGGTTTTGAAGGAAATGGATATATAATCTGTGTATTTTGAAAACTGACGCAGCAGTTTCTTATAGACAGCTGGGTCAGTATTGACACGATTCACTGATGGAGAAATGAGACATGTCAGGGATGAATGTGACAATTCCATGTGATATTCAGGTAGACCCACCATCTTTGAAATCCCCCATCTGGTTTGAGAAGACTTATGTTTTCAGGAAGAGCTAAGACCAGAGTACTGAAAACCCACCAGGTGGAAGGCACAGACCAAATCAATTCAGCAGGTTGTTGTGACTGAAATTTCCTATGCTCTCATGCTTCATAATGGCAGCCTGAATTAAGTCATGTGATCCTATTTTCAGTTGGATTAAGAAGAATTATACTGTGTTTTGTAAACCGGGATTGTGGTCAGGTTTATCAGCACTCCAGCATGCAGACAAATTCCAGAGAAGCATACAGTAAGGTGTAGAGAGGCCTCGTTCAGCCTCCCACAGGCAGGAAGCGTACACATGCTACACCATACTTCATATGTATTGAAATTAAACCTAGACAATTTAAAAAGGCTACCAGGAAGTTACAGTAGCAATTTAGTAAACACTAGATATTTTTAAGTAAGATTTTGTCAGAAATATTGGCCTTTAGTTTTTTTCAGTACATAACTAAGGCTTAGAGTTAAAAATACATGGTGGTAGACATTACCTCAAAACTAGCGGAAGGGGCTTACTGTAAAAAAAAAAATGAATTAACTTTATTCATTAATTTCTCCACTAAATACAAAGGTAATTCCTTCCTATTTATTAAACACTTTTTGTTGATTTTCTTCAGAAACAAGTAGTGTTTTTCTTCATGTTGGTCTTTAATGCATTTTTTTTTCCTTCTTTTTTTGGAGACCAGGAGAGAACAAAAGTGCTAGGAAAAGGTGGTGGGCAGGGTCACATGGGAAAGGTGGTGGGCAGGGTCACGTGTGACATAAAAGTGGAAATTGGGAATACCAAGAGAAGCGGATAGCAAGAAGTGGAGGAGAAGCCACAGAAGCAAATTTTTGTTTGAAAAATGCCATAATGAAACCTAATTCTTTGTAAGCTAATACAAAATTTTAAACAATTAAGAAAAGTAATCATTATCATTTTTGATATTTTCTTAGAAAAAAAAGTAGAGATTGAAAGCCCTATGATTATTGCTAATTGAGTCATCAAATAATACTGATGTGGAGCTCAGTATACAGAAGGGGGCAACTTCATTCTTAATCTTTCATGTGAGAAAATGTCTCTGTGACCCCAAATTTGCAATGAAGCCTGTTGGTACAAAGCCAAGACTTTTTCTTATATTTTGTCCACCACAACTTCACATTTAAATAACAATGAGTTTAAGGGGCTAGGGATGTAGCTCAATGAATATTTACCTAGTTTGTGCAAGGCCCTGGCTTTGATCCCTAACACCATAAGAAATTTTAAAAAGGGGTGGGGGGAGGCAAAAGGAAAAACAACTGTTCACAAAAATAGCAATCAATTTCATCTTCCTCCACAAGAAAATATAATAATAATAATAATAGTAATAATAATAAGCCTTTGCAAAAGCAAGTATTTGTCTATTAGGAGGGAAAAAAGTTTCATGATATCTATGTGTTTGGTTGTAATGCAGTGAAAACTACACTTTTTATTCCTTAAAGCGATATACTATTTCACAGTTTAGCAACGACTAAAGAAGCCTTGAAGTTGCCCCCTTTGAATAAGATGGCTGTATTTCATTCTGTCAGATGCAAAGGAGAGATTTTAGTGCAAAGTACAAATATAAAGCAGACATTTGTTTAAGCAAACAAGCAATTTGTTCATGTGTCTATCTGATCCTCCCTTGAAAGAATTGCAGGCCCTGCTCAGCCATTGACATTTGAAAACTATAAACTGTCCCATTGTCCATTAAAATGACCTATTGGCAGCTGAGACTTGGAACACCAGTTTCTTCTCTGAGGGGGAACAATGCCTGCCTTAGCAGCAGAGATGTGCTGACAGCAGAGCCGCCAGCGGAGCCCAAAGGAAGTCCTGACATGGGAAAGATAATAGACAGATAAAGGTGTTTAGTTTCCTTTATCCAGCTTTGCCTCTAGGAGAGTACTTGGTTGAACATGAGATGCCCAGGTGAGGTGGCAGCCATCTTGGTGTGGTACCCACACTACCAAGACCCCATTACCATTGATTTCAGCAGGACCTTTAGGAGACGTCTTTGAGCAAACACGTTAGGCTTTGGATGTCTTTCTTTTAAACTGCAAGTGAAAACATAAATCTATTCCCTGGCTTGTTTTCTCTTACTCTACCAAATCCAGTACCAGGTATTTATTATAATATTTGAATCAAGTATTATTTTCAGTTTGATATTTTATATTTTTAAGTCAAGTTTTAAAAATTTGCTGAAATTGCATGCCTTTTAGTCTCAGTTGGCAGATGGAAAAACACACTGCCACAAAACAACCGCCCTCCAATTGCTGTATCGTGAATTCTCTGGAAAAGAGTATTTAAAGAGGTGTCCAACCCTTTTGACATTGAGACATGACATTGTCATCTACAAAGTTCATACTTCAAAGCTGTGCAGTTGAGCTACACCCCGCCCCAAATCTCAGAGTTTAAGTTTACGATTCTGTATTAGGGTTCATTCATAGTCATCCTTGCGGTCATGTGTCCTGGGCCATCAATTTTCAAGAGCTGGGGCAACACTCTGCTAATAAATTTACAGGTTTTTATATGCTGTCCTACTATTCATACTGCTCAAGTGGCATAAAATGTCACCTGGGCAGGATGAATCAGTCATGAATAAGACATTTTCTATAAAACTTTCCAGCATCATCCAACTGGGTTACCCAGGCTTTACATTCTCTATAATTCACTTTTACCCATTAGGAAAGGAAAGCTGTTTTGAGAGGATAATTCAAAGGTTTGGAAGAAAAGTGGTGTACGTTGTCATAGGAGACGGCGTGGAAGAAGAGCAAGGGGCAAAGAAGGTGAGCTCCCCGAGGGGCCGCGTGCTTTCTCTTTACTCCTCCAAACTCTCAGAACGGCATCTTTTTGGAACAGGGCCCATTTTTCTGCCACAGACTGAAGTGTGGAGAGTTGTGATCACTGAAAGGAGGAAGCACAGAATCCTATTTACACATGTGTGAGCTTTTGGAACAGAGGCGTGCACAAGCTTCTGCGTGGGACAGGTGGTTGGTCAGAAAGGCAGGCTTAGTGCTGCAGCTGTCATCCAAGACACAGGTGGCTCACATGCTGTCCTTATAGTAGCATATTGTCCTCTGCACCCAGGGCAGACACTGTCAGGGGGCTCCCACCTTGTTACCTGATCCTGGATGTGGCCATAGACCCTTTCAAATACCATTTCAGAAAGATACTTGCAAGTGGTCAGAGCTGGCACACAAGATGAAATTACTTACAGTCCTAGAAGACTTATGCCTTCTTTTTGTGACAAGGTTAGCATCTGCCTTGTTCAGGATGTTCAAAGGAGAGGGAAGAGAGGACCTGACTATAAAAGTCTCTTTAAAAATTGTCGTGTGAACTACAGTTTCTGAATCTCAGTAAGTGTCTTGCTGTCCTTTCTCTTAGCAGCAGCTGTCTCCTTTAGCATCCCTCACACTTTTTAAGGAGGAGGACTAAGTTCCTTAGCCTGACACTCAGGGTCTTCACAACTGGTTACAACTTGCCTTTCTAACCTGTCTCCCTTCTCTACCCAACACTGTGATCACGTGCATCTAGTGACCTTCTGTCTTAGTCCATTTTCTGTTACTGTGGCAAAATGCTTGAGAATGGATCATTTATAAAGAATAGGTATTTATTTGACTTACAGTTCTGGAGGCTAGGACATTAGTGGACATGGTGTCAGCATCTGGTGAAGACCCTCTTATTATATCATAAGATAGCAGAGGGTGTCACATGTGGGCACAGAGCAAGGTCTTTCTTCATCTTTGCAGAAAGTCATCAATGCCACTTTGATTCCTTTTTTTGCACTCAGCACCTATCCACACCATGAGCTGACCTTAGCTAATCCTAATTACCACCAAAAGTTCCACCTTCACGTAACATACAAGGTTGAAGATTCAGTTTATAACACATGAACTTTGAGAGACATATTCAGACCATTAACACCCTTCTTTTACCATGCCCAATACTTCTTTCTTAGAATACTTTTATAACTTTTTTTGTCATTATGTGACTCATTTCTCAAAACTCATAAATCCCATGTTTTTAGGTGCTCAGTTACAGTAGCACTCACTTATATTTTCACTGGAGAAGCCATAGTGGTAAAATAACTTGGATTCTGATCCAACCCTTCTTTGATTTATAGCTTTGCTGAGTATCCATTCTTCAACAAGTGTCTTAAGCCTTCAATTTCGTTCTACCCTGTCCCAAAATGTGGATAGTAATATAACCTAGTTCTTCAGCCTATGTGGGAAGTTAGATTTATAGAGACATGAGACTCATTAACTAGAACAGTGATAGCTGTTGTTACACAAATAATTATAAGTGCCTGCTTTGACAACTAAATCTGGTCTTTGGGGAATGGAGACCTGACTCTGTGTTCAGTTGTTTTTTTTAATTCCCTAAATCTTGTGCTCTATAAATGTTTCTTGAGGGACATTATGTCATTAAATGGATAGGATAAGCTCCCCTTTCTTTCCCACATAGTCATTCATAGACAGCTGTGCACATTACCATGAGGGACATAGCAGTCCAGCTCTGCTGCTGTAACCCAGCCAGTACTAGAGATGGCACATCAAGTTCTCTGTCACAGATGTTAAGTTGACATGTAACAGCCTTTCCATGCCTATGAAGATGGCTCAATTCGCCTTCAGTGCCTCTGAATTCCAATAACACCACAGGCGCTGGCTCTATCTCTGTCACTGACAGATGATTTCACCAGTTCCCTAGATCAGAGTGGACCTGGTGCTGGTGGAAACCCACATGCCACTGGCTTGTTAGTGCTGGAGAGGAGCAGCATGTAAGCACTACTTCTGACCTCTGCTTCTCACCAGTGGCTAGCCCTGATTCTCAATGGGAACATTTGCCATCCTAGACTAAATTAGAATCCCCCAAACACAGTCCTGAGAACTGAAGGAGAATGCTTGGTGGAAATCCTGGCTCAATGCTGTCTTCCTTGGAAAACCTCTGAGAATCCCAGGCCATTCCTACTCAGAACCTCCTAGTGGCCAGAAGGGCCTGGGGTAGATTTGCACCTCTGAGCAACATGGAGCTAAGGAGCAGCATATGATGGCACAGTGACCCTGGGCCAGCTTTGAATCTGCCCTCCAGGCTGGGCCTTCCAAATTGTAGTTTCAGAAGAAAGTACCAGGGTGTGGCTTTTAGCTTGGTGTATGCAGAGGGAAGACTATGATAACGACCGCATAAATAAGGCACAAAAATCACAGGTAAAATCCCACTGTGAGTGGGTCCTTTCCTAAGTCTTTCTAGCAATTTCTTAGAGGTTTAGCTCTGGTGACCACAGCTTGGAAAACAGAGGAACTCTTGGTCTGATGTTACAGTTGAAGGTAGTAATACAATTATGTTTTCTGTCTTTAAAGGACAGCTAAAATTATCTTCACTATTTATCTTTGGACACATTATTTTGCACACATACACCCACCACAATTAGGCAGTGGCCGACAATAAATATTCTCTTGGAATTTTTAATTATGAATGAATCTTCTTAGCTTTTCTTTGGTTTGGGGGGCAAATATATGTGCTAAGAGTCATGAAACATCTGATGCAAATATACCTCTCTGGATTCTGTTTTCTGATTTAGTGTGTATGTAAAAATGTCGACTTTGCAGAAGATTCTTAGATTCCTAGTATCCTGCAAACACTTAGATACTGTCAGTTTATCACTCAGTGATATATGGAATAGTCTTTTAAAGAGGATGTCTGCTCTAGTGTTTTACAATAAACTAATAAATAGTAGCACTTTCTGGATGAAATTAGTGACAAGAACCTATTTTGTGATATATAATGCATGACTTTAGAGTTGAATTCAGCCCAGAGGCAGAGAATATTTAATATTTAACTTAGGGCAAAA